ATTGAATAAATAAATGATTGAATAAATAAATGATTGAATAAATAAATGATTGAATAAATAAATGATTGAATAAATAAATGATTAAATAAATAAATGATTGAATAAATAGATGATTGAATAAATAAATGATTGAATAAATAAAATTTTGAATAAATATATTTTTGAATAAATAAATGATTGAATAGATAAATAAATAAATAGGAATAAATGCTCTATATGAATAACTAATTAAATAAATAGTTAAATAATTTTAGATAAATATATACATGAATATAAATTGACAGTTTAATATTCTTCTTATTATTATTAGTCATTGTTATCATTATTATTATTTTCATTTTCATTGTCATTAAGATTATTATTATCATTATTGTCATTATTCTTATTATTACCATCATCATAATTATCGTCATTTATTAATATTATCATCATTATTCTTTTAAAACAGATTTATTATCAAAATTGCTTCAGACAATTTTGATTTATTTTTGATTACCAAAACTGAAGCATTAATTTATTAATGAAAAACCATTAATTAAAGCAGTAAAACTAATTGTAAGTGGTTCATAAAAACGGCAACGCCTAGAGGCACTAAGTTGCAAATATGTTTTATAAATCCAAAAATCTAAGTTTTCGACTTTTTTAAATACTTTTTTCAAAATCTTCCCGATCTCTTACTAAAAATAAGCTATTATATATGACAGATATATGACAGAAAGTCGCTGAAAGGATCAAATTTACGAATTGTCAACTTGTCTTCTCTGCCTGCAAAACATCAATATCACGTATCGTAAATCAACAACACTTTGAAAAGTATTCTTTGAAATCTTTTTAAAATGCATTCCTCCACACTAAAAGAGTACCGTAATTAAAGCTATTATCTATCTAAGGAATTAAAGCTATTATCTATCTAGAATTCAAAGGAATTCTACGTGAACAAAATCAAGATCATATGAATATAAATTAGAACGCGTAGGATGGCAAGAGTTACTGAAACAGATGCTTCGCTATTTGCAGTAATAGATTTATTAGAATTGTAGCCAAAAAGGATCGAGATATTCATTCTATAAACATTTTAAATAGCAAATATGGATTCATAAAACTTACATTAATGTTTAATATTAATATTCTATTTTTATTTACTCCCCTCGTGACCGAGCTGTTTCGATGATATAGACGCGTCTCTAACAAAATCATTAAGTGAAACTGCATATATTTTTTTTATAGTTTCGAGTTTCTCTAATTCAAGTTAATTACATGTAACCAAATACTTACTAGCATTCGCTTTTTCACCAGTGACTTGCTCAAACAACCTCGGGTTAGAAAGTTGTAAGCCATCAATGAAGTGGTCGAACCCGCTCTTTCCTTTTGTGCCGAGTATCTCAAGGAACTTGTTGGCTTTTTTATCTCTTGTTTTCTCGATGCAAATCAACTCGCAGTCGCCTCCATCGAAAACTCCTTTGCTTCGTAGATAGTCAAATATAAAAGTTCGTTCAAGGTGTAAGCCTGCAACTAATTCTACTCGCTTGCTTTCCAATACCTCCAAGAAGCTTTCACCTTCGTCTCTCAAAGTCTTCTCCATCGTTAGAGCTGTATTACGGTTGAAACGTCCTTTGACTATCGGTTTTGGTCGTTTGTTTATCGCATAGTCTATAGTAATGCTTTGAATCACCCGAGTTAGTTTATGTATGCCATAAATACTACAGTAATACGAGAAGATTTGATATTCAACTTAACTCGTGGTTTATTCTGACGTAAATACCTTCCTTGTTCCTGTTTGATGTGTCACATAATCAGTAATGCTGATTTAGTCACGGCTCTGTAAGTACAGGAAACGTGGATGAATGGCTTTGAATGAAACATGCTGCGAAATAAAAGCAAACAATATTACAGTGTATTATTTCTCGATATAAATAAAGCTTTTGTTCACCTAAAAATAATCTTTTCTTTCCAAAATGCACACACTTACCATTTTGTCGTTTCTTCTAGTTCGCTCTTGCAAGAGATGAAGCCTCTTAAGTTCTTTCTCACTTCGTCAGAGTTTTTTTTTTTCAAATCTAATTTTTCAGTTATCTTTTAGAGAATCTAGTTTCAAAGTCATATCAGTTCACCTAGTTTTGGATAGATTAAATATTTTTAATTTTCTTTTTCTTTTAGTTTGGGAGGGAAAAAGTCATGTCGCGCAGTGATGAGCTCTTCGTGGACTCACAGATCAGTTGAAAAATAATACTTATGCGACTTCCTCAACAGCACTGCCAAGCATGCATAGTTCGGCTCTTGGTTCAACATAACCATACAAAATCGATTGATCCATCCATCGATCCATTCATCCATCCCTCATTTCTCCATCCATCTATCGATCCGCATTCATCCATCGCTCCATTCATCCATCGATTCATTCATTCATCCATCCATCGATCCATCCATCTATCGATCCGTTTTCATCCATCGATCCATACATTCATTTATCCATCCATCGATCTATGCACCCATTTTTCATCCATCAATATTCCATCCAAACCCAACTTTCCAAATAACCCATTTGTCCTTTCATCCGGCTTTTAAACTGAATGATATTCGAAGTCGACGAGTGAATTTGACATTCATACCTCATTGATCTCAATCAACGACGCGAGTAACCAAATTTCCACGAAATAAAGGAACATTTTCCCATCATCGAATAATCAAGTTCTCGAAGAAAAAACCTTTGAGTTGGATCTTTAAGTCAAGTTTAACAATTTTTTATGCCAATCATTTTTTACTCAGTGTTAAAGTGCGGGTGGCGCGGTCTAGTTCAGTGCGTCACAACGGAAGGGAAACTAAATATTTATACAGGTTGCGTGAAAATTACAGTGAAGATACTCGAAGTTCTGCGTACACTTTGAGTTTGTTACTTTTTAAAAATGTATACGAGATTTATTTTGACCACTCGGTGAATTTGAAGTCAATGCTTCATTTTACAGGGTCGGTTTGAAAAAGTGGAAAGTTCATGGAAAAAATGGACCCAAAGATGTCTAAGATTTCATTAGCTTTATGTTTTCTTTCTATTCGCAGAGCTGGTTTGCAAGACCAGGGGGACATGCCAGGGCCCGTTGCATAGTATGACGTTCACGTAATTATTTTTGTACTCGTCTAACGTTACACAGGAAGTTGTCTATCACTTGTCTGGTTTCGCTTTCAAGGTACCTCATCTTTACATATGACAGTCTAAAGCTTCAAGTTCTCACCAACTTACGAGAGCTGATATGGAAAGATGTATTCAGCTAAACCACAGATTAGAATTTCCAAGTTTTTGTAAAGTCATTTTCATTTTTGGTTGGGAATTGTTGGCGAAAATGAAATGGATTTTTCTTTTGAAAAGATTATATCCTCATATTCAAATAAATCATTATTCTTAGATACGATCTCCGAGTAGTGTATTGTACGTCATTTAGTTTTTCTTAAACTCCAAAATTGGAGGTGCCGTCGATAAACGACAACATCTTTACCTTTCATAAAATCATCTGACGTAATAAATTTTTATCCAATCAAAATGCTAGGAAGTATGATCATCAATGACCTCCTCTCCATGGATCGATGTCACCAGTTTATACTTGCAGCAGAATTCCTTTTGGTTCTAACCCCGAAACTTAGATTTGTACAAAAGGTATGCATTTGTAGCATAGATCGAGAAATTATCGCTCTTTCAAATATACAGTTTTATAGTACGGTCTTCTGAGTACCCAGCGGGCAAAGGATATTTTTCTTCCGACTTGTAAGCGGAGGGCAGGAAAAAAAAAAAAAAAACTCTGCAAGAACAGGGTAGCATGTGCTCTTGTATTTAAATTCCGCTTGCCCGACTATTTACAAACATGCATTTGACTCGAAAATAAAGGTTTATTTGACGGGAATTTCAAACAACCAAGAATCTCTTTGATTCCGTCGTGTGACAATGAACAAAATGACTTGTGTGACTTAACTCCCATGACGTATTAAGAGCCATATCGTTATTGCCTGCTTCAGGACATGTCAGGGATAAAACACAAAAAATTAAGTACTATACTGAAGCTTACAAGCGCTCTCTAAAGTCTAAAAAGGCATTTATTCCAGAAGGTTTATAGAGAGTTCCACTCACTCTTATTTTATTCTGTGCTGTCCCATAAGGTGCAAATAGCTTCCACAAGGGCTTTCAACATCCTGGAAGGACCTTGTGTATAGGGACCATTAGTACAGCTACAAAGGACCTGTCGATTCCCATAAGTACCTATGGGAAAAGAAAAATGGCCAATGTAAGCATATTATGATAAATCCTTCTTTGAATAAAATATCCGAGCATAGTTTTGGAGGTGGGCGTGGACCCAAACCGCTTTACGGCTTCACGTGGCTCGAACGACGATTACAAATGGCGGTCCCGTTTCTTCCATTACAGAGTAATTCATTCAGTATCAGGGTCAAATTAGTCACGTTTCCCTCGATGAAAAAATGTGTATTATAGGTATTATATCATTACGACTGCTGCTCGAATAAGAAAGGGTGTGGTAGAAAGAGTACGCGAGAAAAACCTGTTTGCCCATCCCATCTCCTCGTCCCGCCCGCACGGTCATCTGGCTCAATAAGCCCCACAAGATTATTTGGATACAGAGGATATATTGTCTAAACTTTATCCGGTGTTGGTTTAGGATGTTCCATTCAAGCTTACTAAGCTTTGTATGACCTATTCTCGTGACGGATATTTGTTTCGGTTCTCATGGAAACAGTTTATCCACAGATGAGAAAGCAAGCAGATAAAAATACTTGCATTGTCCACGAAAAACCTATATGATTGATCTTAAAAGTAACACAATATCATGCGCATCAAAATTAGCTTCGTTCGTCCTCTGATAGATAAAAGTTTAAGATACAGAACTGTAATCTTAAGACGTATGGATTAAGAGCTTTCTCAATAATGGCTTCTAAATTATGAAATGACCTGCCTATGGAAATTAGATCTATTTCCAACTACAATACTTTTAAGTCTAAATTAAAGAAACATCTCTTTAAGGAAGCCTATAATATTTAAAATATTATATATCCTAAGATGGATAGTTATATATATATATATATATATATATTTAATTTTATACCTATTTAAATTTAAATTTTATTTAAATTTATTTATTAGCTAGCTTTTATAACCTGTTTTCATGTACTTATAGCAGTGATTTTTTAAAATTATGATTTATTGATTGTAAAGCGCTTAGCACAGAGATAAACAAGAAATGTTAATATTATTATTATTATTATTATTATTATGTGCAGTACTAAAACGTATAGATGCAAAAAATCTATGACCTGTATAGGGTGCACAGCGTAACCTATACAGTCTAAAAGGAAACTAACTACAATAAATTTAAATAGGTGTCCCTATAAAATCATTGTATTTAAAATGGTTCAGAAAAAAAAAATATATATATATATACATACAATCAGTTACAATAAATTTCTAGCAACAGAAAAACTCCCTCTATATTCTATAAATCTGTAACAGTATCCTAAGATTATTTAAAAAAAAGTCCAAGCTTATATAACAGTTGCTTTAAATGTTCGTGCTATATGGAGCGAGTAAGAGATGATGGCTTTCTGCATCTTCTCCAAAACACATTGTTATTATTATTATTATTATTATTATTATTATCTTTCTTTAGCTAGCAGTTATCTTCGTTTACACATGCACGGCTGTAACAGCTATGACGATTCTTTATGTGATAATTGTATCAAGTTGCGCGTGGGTCGATTCTGTCCAGGCGCACCCACCGTGGATGGTTTTCCGCGACCACAAGGGGTCACAAGGGGAAGGAATTATAGCTAAAACGTGCTACTTTTCTCCTACACCAGGGTATTGAGCTTAGTCTTGTCATTCATAGACAGGATTGATATTCTGCCTATATTTGGTCAATTCATTAGTACCTGTTTACTCATTAAGTTTCACCGCAGGATGAAACATAGGACAGTTTTTATCAAGACCTCCAAGCTTTGAGCACTAAAAGGATGTGGTCATAAATGATTAGTTAAGAGTTTAACCAATGGGATTGCAATTTTCTGCCGAAGCATCTAAATCACTTTATTATACACACCCCATTCTACTTGAGGACTAACGTCAGAATCTGCCTTCTTTACTTCCTCTAAAACAGTTTTCGGCCACGGTTGAGGGAAAAAACGTAAAACTGATTAAATCAAAAATCTAAGTACACAGGGCGCAAGACAGACTATTTTTTTAAAGGTCAGCTAAGATTTCTTTACTTTATTTCACATTTTAAAGATTTTATTGAGGTTTTTAAGCATCGCCATACATTTTCTTACGACACCACAGGAACCTAGCTTGGGCTACCTGTGGAGAGACTACTACCTTCAGAGTCTGGCCGGTCTTCCCTTCGAGCGCCGCCATCTTGAAAATAAACGAGAAGAGAAGGCCCTGGAAACAAGGTTGGACTAACTCGAAAACAATAGTGGCCGACTAATCGTTAGACCATACCCAAGGTCAAGAAATTTACATTACCATGTGTAAGGTACTTGTCTCCATATGCTCATCGACCGTCTGGTCAGTCAGTCACGCAAGTTTAAAGTGCCCGTACCACCTAACTCAATAATTTCAATATTGATTCTACATAAGTGAATAGTGGAATGGTAAAAACAAATCATATGATTTGAGTGATGCATCTTGAAGATATCAAGGTTTATATTTCCAATATGTTAATGAGTGGGATGTCAATATAGGCATGATTATTTAAATATACAAAACTTTTCTAGGGCAGTAAAATATCCTGTATAAAACATCATTGTCTTACTCAGGGTTTATAGAAAGTTTATTGCAAATTTTTTTCTCTCATAATAACAAGTGTTTCAATTTACAAATGATGACAAATAAACTCAAATTCCTATAATGACATCACRCTCATAAACGTATTTGTCATAATTTGTCATTAAAAAAAAGATTATTATATTAAAAGAACCTTTGATTATTATTAATGTCTTATTCTCGTTACAAGACCTTCCACTACATGATCATACTTTTATAGATGGTTTACATGGTTCAGACTAAACTGACTGAGTTAACAGATCAAAAACAGTTTTCCGTGTTTGATACTCTGATCAAAACACGCGGGATGTTGGGAGAACACGAGAGGAGCGTAGGAAACCACGACGCGTAGCGGAGTGGTTTCCAGCTTCTCGAGTGTTCTCCCAACATCCCAAGTGTTTTGATCAGAGTATCAAACACAGAAAACTGTTTTTGATTTGTTTTATAAAATAACAAACGCGCGAAAAGATCGAAAAAAAGCAAAGTCTAAGTAAATTCTCCYTACGTGCCGTCTTATTCAAACTGACCAATGAGCGCGCGCGATAGATTAARRATGACGATAGCGTGTTTTGATACTCTCATCAAACATGGTTTTCGACCAATCATAGCGCGCGTAGTATCCCAATTATTTTATAAACAAAATTAAAAGATCTTTCTTTTATCATAATTACATACAAAATAAATGTAAATGTCAATTAGCAATGCCTACTTGGATATGCAATGTCTAAGTTCTATCAACCGAAATATGCACTCACGGCATACCAGCTGTCAAAGCGTCCTWTTGGAATCCCTTTGGTAGTTATGAATGTCATTTGCATGGCAAGTTTACTTTCAAATAATTCCATGAGCTTCTTTGCCTCTGCATTTCTACCTACTGGACAACTCAACAAAACCGATGGAGACGAAGACGATCCTTTCTCGAGCATCTCTTCAAAGATAGCTTTCAGTAAAAGTTTGGCGATTTCCGAGGATTCGGCATATAGTGGCCCAAGATAATAGCCTTCGTTTTTGTCGATTGCTACTCTTGCAGCTGTGTACCCGACTATATTGTCGTCTGTATCAACAGCAACGCGTGCGTGACTTCCTTGTAAACGGAGGAACTTTTGCAAGAATGCTTCACGTGGGTATCCAAAAACTTCTGTGTCGTAGTCATACAAAGCTCGAAGATCGACTTCATCAAGGGTCTTGGCAAAGTAGAGACGGCTTGATGGAAGGTGGCTAAGAACTTGTAAAGCAGAAGGCAGATGAAGGTCTAGAATATGCGCCAACCATTGAGGTTGGAAACTAAACTTTTCTACGTACTTGTTGAGCATCTCATCCACGGCGTACGCTGCTACATTTTGAGAAGGTACAACACTCTTTAGAGCAGTTTTGTACATCTCCAATCCAAAGCCTTTGCCACGGTACTCTTTCTCGATGATAAAAGAGGAAAATAGACAGTAGGTTTCGTCGTACTTTAAGACGAAGACACAGCCAATTGGTTTGCCATTCAATTCACCAATAAATAAGCCCGTGGGATCCAACTTAAAATACGTTTCTACTTCATTCGAGCATGGCCTCCACTTTTCTTTCACTGATAATGTTTCTATGTAAGTTATAATATCCCTTTCAGAAGCCATTATCGAACGTACTCTAAACTGACTCATTGCGATAGAATGTCGTTACCTGAGTTGCGCCACCAGACCTTTTTTTTTCACTGGAAGAGGAACGTGACCGAGGAGCTCTGACACTAACTACTTTAGTCTCTTTTGCAGTCGTTACAGAGGAGAAGCGAAGCCTATCCCAGAATGCTTTGCGCTCGATACTATATTATCAAAAGCATAGGTGACGTCGTCATTGTATTTAGGCCTTCCAAGAGTGAAAGCAAGATAGTGTCCTTTAGAGCGTTGTCTTGTGTTCGAGCGAATGCTTTAGAAATATTTCCGTTGTCATACATTCACTGTATTTCTGAAATGGATACACTCAAAAACATTTCTTATACAGTATATCTTCCACTGCTACACTTTCTCTACTAAGTATTATACTGCAGCCGTTCTTATGGCATGGACGCTTGTACACAGGTAGCGCCACAAGTAGCCCAAGCGTATACATTGTACTGTTTTACTATACAATATATGGGACTTCATAAATCTTCATTTTCGTTCATTGAATTTTAATAAAATCCACTGAAACTTCTACAGCGCTGTTTTGGTTGTTCTTAGCTTAACTCTGAGCGAATTTCGTTCAATCTAACTGCACTTTCCCCACCGTGAAGCTAAAAACAACGAAGTTCGAGTTTTAAATCGTTATTTTTACACACCTCAACAAGGACCTTGTACAGACTCCAAGAGAAACCCTGAAGCTTAGAAGTCCAATACATGTGTATAGGGACCATTAGTACAGCTACTAAGGACCTGTCGATTCCCATAAGTACCTATGGGAAAAGAAAAATGGCCAATGTAAGTATATTATGATAAATCCTTCTTTGAATAAAACATCCGAGCATCGTTTTGGAGGTGGGCGTAGACCCAAACCGCTTTACGGCTTCACGTGGCTTGAACGAGGACTGCAAACGGCGGTCCCGTTTCTTCCATTACAGAGTAATTCATTCAGTATCAGGGTCAAATTTATCACATGTTTTCCTCGATAAAAAATTGTTTATTATATCATTACGACTGCTGGTCGAATAAGAAAGGGTGTGGCAGAAAGAGGCGCACCACAACAAGGGGTCACAAGCGGAAGAAATTACAGCTAAAACGCGCTACTTTTCTCCTACACCAGGGTATTGAGCATAGTCTTGTCATTCATAGACAGGATTTATATTCTGCCTATATTTGGTCAATTCATTAGTACCTGTTTACTCATTAAGTTTCACCGCAGGATGAAACATAGGACAGTTTTTATCAAGAAAGTCCTCAAAGCATTGAGCACTAAAAAAATGCGGTCATAAATGATTAATTAAGAGTTTAACCAATGGGATTGCAATTTTCTGCCGAAACATCTAAATCACTTTATTATACACACCCCATTTTACTTGAGGACTAACGTCAGAATCTGCCTTCTTCGCTTCCTCTGAAACAGTTTTCTGTTAAGAAATAGGATGGGTGATTTTAGTAGTCCACACTATTCCGGATATGCCGAAACCGAAAAAAACGTTTTCCGTCCACACATGAAAACGGATAAAATGTTTCGCGCCCACACTAGTCCGATCAGAGGCGGCAAAAACGCTTCATTACACATCTGAGCATGTGCATCGAAGCTGAAATTGAGCCCGCGGTGAATTTTTAGCCTTCCCGCCATTATTCCATGGCAATCATAACGTCATCGTATTCGAAAAATTTTGTATACGAAATGTTCTCCGTCCACACTAATACGGCTAGCCGGTTTTCAAATTGTTCCACTCTGGAGACCGTATACAAAAAAATTCGTTTTCGGTGAAGAATTGTTTCGGATTCGCCCGGACTAGTGTGGACGGTAGGCCTAACCGAATAAATAAAAATTCGGATTCAAATTTATCCGGCATTAGTGTGGACGGGGTATAAGGATATTTTGTTTTAATGAATGATAGTGTCAATTCATTCATTTATGTTCATTTATTTATTCATTCACCGCGTTCATTCGTTCTTCTTCTTTCCTTTTCCTTCTCATTTCTCATTCTTTCACTGACTCACCATTTAATTCATTCATTTTTTCTTTCTCCTTTTTCTTCCCATTTCTCATTTTTTCACTCTCTCACTCTCTTCTCCATTTGTCTTTTTTCTTCTATACTATTCTTGTAAAAAGTACTATGTGTGACTTACATTGCATAAAGAAACAAACTCCTTGTACAGTTCTAGAGCCTCAGTCTTTGCAATATTTGTGTGATACCTGCCAAAGAGGGTCATTCAAAATTATGATTATTCTAAGGGAACACTGATAACATCCACTGCTAGCATGCTGCCTCTCACCAATGCAAAATCCCAGGTTYGAGTCCTATCAGGCTTGGTGTTGTATGTGCATAGAGTTGTTTGTTGGTTCTCTACTGTGCTTCGAGGGTTTTCTGCAGAGGGTTCTCAGATTTTTTCTCCCTCCACAAAAATCAACTTCTAAATTCCAAATTATTTGATCTATTGGCTGCCTTCTCAATATACCTTGGCTCTTTAGCTTCATATGCAAATTGCTCATTTCAGATCACATGACATTCCCTTGAGAATTGTTCTTTTATGACGAACATGTTAAAATATTTACACATGAAAAAATCAATTTCCAAGAGTGACATCACATGGTCTGAAATGTGCACAACAAACAGCGAAGCTAAATAGGTCTAGTGGGTTGCAAAACCTGTTAGGCATTGTGCTGTCCACCCAGGAGTGGTAAATGCATTAAATTACTAACCAAAGGCTAAAGCTTTATCCAGGAATTCTATTCAGGTATTCTATTATACTTACTGCATACTTTTTCCTTTTAGTTTTCCACCTATTGTTGCCTTGAAAAAATATTAAAACCAAATCAGGGAATTAGAAAAAATAATAAAAACTGCAAACAATAATTTATACAGATATCAGTTAAGAAGCCTTGATCACACAGCACCGCGCTCATATCCATGGAAAAAAACCTTTGCTTCAACCTGCATAACCTCATCCTAATTTAATTTCTAGACATGTTCTGTTTTTCCTTTTGTTTCTTTGCATTTTGGCCTTATTATTATTATTTATAGATAGATAGATATATATTCAAATTATTGTAATGCGCTTGTGAACATATCTGAATGAAACAGGCGCAATATAAATAATAAATTATTATATTATTATTAAAGTGCTTTAATTTGTGGTCTACGTGGACATAAATATATTGTTCCAGTCTATATTGCAGCAAACAGAAGCTCACAGGTTCAAATATCACCTGGTACTCAGAATGTTTTCCTTCACTTACTATTGACAAGGGTTTCTTTGATATTAATAGTCCCCTTCACAGTTCCCTGAGCCATCTTGAAAGGTAGCCGTGCCTTTGCATTGAAGCGAGACGAACGGCGAGCTTGCAATGATAGAGACTTTTTTTTAAACACCTTGGACAGTTATTTACATGTCTCTATCATTGCAAGCTCACCATTCGTCTCGCTTCAATGCAAAGGCACGGCTACCTTTCAAGATGGCGCAGGGAACTGTGAAGGGGACTATTGCCACCCACAACTCAATACTTGCCTAAATTTGAACAATTACAAGGGTTTTTAAGGACCTGGAATGAAAAATCCTTACCTGCGGCACTATTAGTACATCTCCAGGTAGTTCAAGTACAGACACTTTGCTGTTTGAGTCAGTTTCACTTAACCTGACATTCAAGACTGCCTTGACTGCAAAAAAAGAGCCACATTGATTATAAGCAATAACAAATCTGATATCATGTTTATTGTCTTAGGGATGGACCATTAGATTTTTGAGAAGGAGGGGGGGTGGGCAATTTATTTCGTGCAGGAATTTTTTTTACCCCCCTAGGCAGCCTGTCCAGGAATTTGTTTGGACATAATTTCTTCTGGCATTTTTTTTTTTTTTCATTCTTTATTAAAGCTGTGCTCAATTTTTTTTTTCAGTTTTTGCCTAATCCCCACCCCCCTCAAAAATCTAATGGTCCATCCGTAAGAAAGAACCTTACCCACTTTTGGTATGATATCCAGTGCTGCACCTTTCAGGAAAGCAACATGAAGTATAACCCCTCTCTTGATCTGCAAGAAAGAAGTGAGCTACATAAATTTTACACTTTAGACTATTTACTCCTTACTACAGATTTTAGAATTTCAGCTGGGATACAAATTAACAGCAATACCAGGTTTCTGGTTTAGTTCTTTTAAAAATCTTGCTATAGCTTTAAATTTTCACTGACCTCAACATACTCAGCTGGTTTCTGATCACTGGGTGGCTGGACCTGAAGTCTGGCAGACAAACACTGCTGCATAATCACCCTCACACAAGGTCCACTTGTTGACGATGCCATTATAATTTTCTGGGGAATTCAATAAGCTTAAGTCATGATTATAAACTCTGGCTGGAGGAAAGTGATAGATGGCCTATCTGCTCGACTCTTTAATGAAAGTATTATCATACGGGCTGAATAAATAGCCGATGTGCAAGAGCATGAATCTCTTATTCTAGCACAAAGCATGATGGGAAACTGAGTACTAATAATTATGCTTTTTCACCTCCTCTTCTCTAATTAAAAATTCATCTGGAAACTTCTTCTTCAACATTTTTAATGGAAATGTAAGTATTTCAACAGAAGAGGAGAAAGTAACAGGTTTTTTTTCTGATAGTTCCTTTGATTTCCCTGTTCCATTTTTGCAATACTCAGTTTCCCAAAGTGCTTTGTGAGCTCTGATGCACATTGCCTATTTGCCACGGGTTTACGCTCTTTAACTAAAGGTACAAAGGTTTCCTAGTCTATCAAGTCCACTTTTTATAACGCCTTTTCATATGCCTTTCTATTTTTATAGTAGTTCTACTAGGTTTCAATCAGCTGATAAAAGTCTTTGAATCTCATTATCTGCTCCAAAAGGAGTGTAGAAAATCGTAGTAAAACATTAAGTGAATATAGGGATAACCTCTTTCACCTTCTTTCACAATTTTTCATTTTTTTTTTCTTTTCTTTCTTCTTTTTTCTTTATACAAGGTGATGAATTGTGAATAAACCATTATGTTATGTTATGTTATTATGGAGTATCAGAGATTTTTCACCTGTTTTAGAGAGTCATTTCAAGTAAATCTTTGCTGTTGTTTTTTTTTCTCTTGGCGGGTTTTTTTCTAATTTTTTTGAGGCGTCAGCCCGCTGACCAAAAACCAGGTGACTCTGGGCTCAAGCTCGATTCCAGGGTTCTCTCTGTCATTCCACAGGCTACCCATAAGCCGTAGCGGGTTTATAGAATTTTCCAAGATGGCGGCCGAAGGTGTATCACCTTTTCCTCTTCCTCCAACCCAATATTATACCCTCTATACAGATAGTAATGTCGAACAAGACAGGGCACCAAAACCGCCACCGCCTATTGAAGGGACATACGCTATGTTTGGCGCTTCTTTCGAGGTATTTATGCTTGAAAAATCTAATTTCCTTCGAGCATTTGCTAGATTCTCGTCATGATAACTCAAGCTTATTTGCTATATTTGTTTTAGATTTACTAAGGTTTTTTCGTTTGAGTTGACTTTAATTTGTTTATAGAGTGACGATACTATAATTCGGCCTTTGGAATCACAAGGGATTGCTCGTCTTTATCCACAACACAGAAGACTAGGTGAGTTTATTGTCGTTATCCATGAGAAAAATAATGATAGAAGAAAGCTGAACGTTTGCCACAATACGTGAAAATAAATACAGTTTTCTTATTAAAGTGCAAATGAACCCTTTGACAATACATTTAGTACTGGTTCTGCATAAAGTAAATAGTTGATTGGTAAAATATTTCTTGATTTGAGTGATGCGTCTTTAAGTTATTAAGGTTTATACTTCCAATATGTTAATGATGATGACGTCAGGTAAGGTATTTGAGTGTTTTTGTTGTAACTAATAATACTAAATGCTGGCCATTTTGAAAATAAAAATTGTAAATAGCTTTCATGTAAACCATGAGTAAAATAATGATGCTTCTTAAATACTGTATCTATGAACCAGTTCGATTTTGTATATTTDATTAAGCCTTAATAGACGTCACACTCATTAGCATATTGGAAGTATAAACCCTCATAACTTAGAAACGCATCACTCAAATCAAGAAATATTTTACCAWTCAACTATTTACTTYATGTAGAATCAGTACTGAAAGTATTGTCGAAGGGTTCATGTGCACTTTAAGAAAATGAAAATTTCATTTCTCATTTTCCATTTTCCCAGATCCCATTCCCATTACTTTAAATTCCATTTTTTCAGCTTTCACACCAAAGAAGCATGGAAAATCTAGTGAAAAAGCAGAAAATTGCCCTACTTCACTATGACATCACATCAAAACAATATTCAACAATCTATTGTTTAAATGCAAAGGATCATGGTCGTCGGATGGGGTCAAATCAACGCAAATTAACCAAAAATTGTTCTACTGTAAATCCTGTATCATTCCACGAAGAGAAGTAGAATAGCCAGCAAATGCTCAGAATATTTTTTAGTATATATTAACACATATTATACCTGAAAACCAGGCCATTTTAGATTAAACTGTTTCACTAGGAGCAAATTTAGTTGAATTTTCTATTGGATTTGGCGATTCTATCCCCGACATAAACAAGCAGTGACGTCATAGTGAATTAGGTCAATTTAAATCATCTGGACTGGTCCATAGATACATATTTTTTCAATTATAAATTTTTAATGCTCAGTTTTGAAAATTTTAAATATCTAATTATTTTATTTAGATCGAATAACAGAATTAAAGAAGCTTAATCATTCCATCGTGATAAACTTCCTGGAACTGCTGGATATCTTAATAAAGACACCGTCATCGGCAAAGGTAAAACTTACAATCATATAATTATCAATATATATCACACAGACTTTTGATAAGGTAATATTTTTGATAAGGTTATTTTTCTCTAAAAGTGAAAGAATGGATTTTTTTAGGAATTAAAGTTAAAATGTGGCATAAACTCCAGTAGAGTGCAAGCACTAAATCTGTGAACATTAATTAGTACTAATTAGTACTATTTCATACAGAATCATTTGTTTTCTATTGTTTATTTATCACCATTTAGTACTAAAAGTTAGTATTTGTTTCACGGGTTTAGTGCGTGCACTCTACTTGATGTTTTTGCATAAATCTCACCACAATTAAGAGTTGAATGGCACAATTTTTTTTCTGGGGGGGTGGCTTATAAAATCATCAATAAAGTCAAGTAAAGGGGCCTGATATGATATCCATTTAGTCTTTATAAGGATCACTGGCAGTTGTGTTCACGATAGACCTAATGTGTTTCAATTTATCAACCTTTACAAACATACATGTATGCGTACAGTACATTTAATTGGTTAAACTTCCAATTCAAACTATATATATATCATTGATTTTTTATATATTAGTTTTCTGGTGTATTTTTGTATGAACTGTAAATAGTAATGATGGTTCTTATTCTTTTAGCGTGATGCAAAGCTTGAAGATATGAGACTGCTCTTCATCAATATGCATCACTTAATCAATGAACTTCGACCACATCAGGTAATTTGTATAAGACAGGACATGTTTGTTATCGCTTTTGTTGTTAACATATTAACAGTCCTTGTGTATATTTTTATTATAAAGGCAAGAGAAACACTAAGAGTCATGATGGAGAGACAAAAAAGACAAAGACTAGAGACTGCAGACAAGTTACAAAAGTAAGTTCCAGTTTCTTCTTACTGAGGGAAATAAAATGTATTATAAGATAGCTCCGATATTATGCATGCTCTGATAAGTTAGAGTGTGCAAGCATGCAACCAAAACTCCATGATGCCTCTGATTGAGTAGCACATGCTATTTAATAAAGGTGTTTTTTTAATTGTTTTTTTATTAACAAAGATTTTTTTAAAGGTTTTGCAATGTTACTAAAGGATTGGTCTTAGATTAACATGCTTCCATTGAATTTGGGGTGCACTTGCTTGGTTGCTTCAAAGCACAAGCAACTCTTGTTTCAATCTTTAAATTTGACTCACTAATTGGATTTGACTAAAACCATTACTCCTCTGAGTCATGGTCTACGAGTCAACAGCCCATTCAGGCTCGAGGACTAATTGCTAAATATCATTAATAATGTCTGTCATTTATTTCCAGGCATATCAACAGAGTAGTCACGCTTCTGCAGAATTCCTCGTCACATTTAAACTTAATCATAGCACAAGATAGCATGGCTACTCAACAAACGATGGTAAAAAGAGAATCATTCATTATATTGTAATTAAAATACATTCATCAGATAATGATTGGGTAATGAAACAACTACATTGAGTTAGTTTCATGAGCTGTTGGTCAAAATATTATATCCTCTCAGGGATACAGTCAACTGATTTTACTTGCCAGCAGCTTATTCCTTGTTGGACGATTGAACAATCAAAGACTCCAAAAAGCCAATAAATCAACTAACTTATTGTTAAGTTTAGTGCTCTAAACTTGTGTTGCTGTTTAATCATCCAATAACATTTACATTATGGCAAGTATGAGATAGTAATGATACTGATATCCCTGGTAATACATGTATGTATCCAAACCCAGATTGGCTAATATGTGTGCATCCAGCCATATCTTTCGAAGAGAGAGACCTACACTGTAACAAAATTTATTCCTATGAGATGTTGAGTCTAGTTGTTGTTATATAAATATCCATTGTTCTTGTTTTTCTTTCTTGTTGTAGATGGATATAGATGAAGCAAGTAACACTCAAAAGTCAGAAAAAGCCATCACTAAGAGAAAAGAAGATCTTGTTGGCGACATGCTGGAGAAGATTACATGAAAATAAACCCTCTTTTGATCTTATTCTTACACATTAAGTCGCTATCCTGTGACCAGAGTCTCTGCCACTTGATTTCTAGTGTAAATAAATTAAATTGAACTTAAAGTAAATAAATTTGTATATATTAGTGAATTATGGTAATTAGATGTGCATGTAAATTGCGATTTGACAAAGGGAAATAGCATCAAATTAGTATCCTTGTTTTTCGATTTTTAAAACGGAGAGGGAAATGAAGTAAAGAAAAAAAGAAAAGAAAAGAAATTGATGAACTTTGGTTTGGGCTTCCTGTGGTTCATTCTAGTTCCCAGTGCCTAACGAAAAACAAGTTCAAAATGGCGGACGAAGGAAGAGTTTTTACATAACATTTTCCCAAAAAGATCGAATTTTTAAACTTTATTCTCATACTTAGGGCCAAACGCCATCCATGAACTTAGCACCATAATTTCAAGTGACAGAATGTTTACATTAACAGCAAGGAGGGTTTCACAAGGACTTCATAGGAATATTTATTTTTCTGCACTTCGTTCTGGCGACTTCAAATTTGCATCGTCTTGTGTTTTGAACAGTGCAAAAAGAACACTATTGTCGAACTGTCGACAGACAGATAAACTCTGTGGCTCTAGCTTAAGTTGTTTATGGCGCTCACCACCTTCTAACGTTTTTATAGTGTGGGGTTGTCGGTCAAGTAGTTCTACATCTACATCTACATCTTTCAGTGGATCAGTATTTAATCGGAACAAGACAACTTTAGTCTACGTAGGAGCTGTGGTTCTTACAGTCCTTGGTTTTTCTTATGCTGCGGTGCCTTTATACAGATTATACTGCCAGGTCTGTAGTTTTTCTGTTGACTGGCTGTTATTTTGAAGAATCTTGCTTTCTCTACCCCTGACCCCACCCCTACCAGTTATAAATTTGACCATTCTTTTAATTGATTTGTTCCTTCAAGGCTTCTGGTTTGGGCGGAACAATAAAGCAAGCAGAATCTGGTGAGAAGATTGAGAAGATGGAGAGGCAAGCAGACAGAATATTGAGAATCCAGTTTAATGCTGATACCAGTAAATCTATGAGATGGCACTTTAAACCACAGCAATCCCATGTCAAGGTTTGTTAAAGCCCCCTCAGTCATCCCCCCACTTCATTTACTAGCATTATTGTTAAAGTGTGACCTGCAAAGTTTGATGTCTTGTTCCCTGACTAGCATTTCGATGACAGCCAATTAAATAACTGCCATCTTATCGTCACAAATTTACTAACCGTAATATTGAAAATCTACCTGATAGTTCCTTTCACACACACACTGTGCAGACTCACTCCCCACCCCAGTTTACTATGATTTAGTGACTGTATTGGCTGAAAGACCTCACTTAAAATAATTCATATTAAGGCGATCACATCAATTTAATTCAAAAACCAATAGATGTTCATTGAAATTCTACAAAGAGAATCACAGGATTGTGGAATAGGCCTGAATTTTCTTGTGACAGCCGTGCCCACTTTTGTGTGATTGCCCTACCCATTTTCATTGATAAATTTGCTAAATGTTAGCATGCTAAGGCTACACATGGAATGTTTGTAATCACACAAAAATGGGCACAGCTGTCATGAGAAAATTCCACAGTTGGGTGATTTTTGTTGTACTTGATTTAGGTTGCTCCAGGTGAGACAGCCCTTGCATTTTATACAGCAACAAATCCAACAGACTCTCCAATAACGGGGATATCTACCTATAATGTGGTTCCATTTGAAGCTGGACAGTACTTCAATAAGATACAGGTAAGAAGGAATCTAGGGGACTCCATATACACAGGAGATTTTCCTACTACCATTCCAGTCAGTAAGCTCCATGGGAAACTAGGTTCTTACTTCATGTACAGGACAAAGTCTATAAAATTCAATACTTTAGCTATGCAATAGAACGAAGGTAACATTGAATACAATAGGGTTCTATTGAAATATGTACACAGTGTCCTCTATTGTGCCCCCTACACACAGATATACCCTGAAACTATGTAGAAATCTAGGGTAGCAAAGCAGAATGTTTGATTTCTGGACTCTGCATCTAATGGGAGTAGAGTTTGTTAGGTCTAGCTCTCCCTTAACGCTTGACTCATGCATTTTTTTCAAACCTTCCTCCCTCGGTAATACCTAATTAAATTTGAATTCACACCGATTAGCTGTACCCTGACTTGGTTGCCCGCAGTTGTTACAGAGTTTGATCTATGAATTATTTGTAATATTGTCCAGGGTTTAATCTGTCAGAGGTTGTTTCAGGATTCATAAAATATTATGTACTTATTGACTGAGTGGGAGGGCCGTACGGGAAAATATTTGGCTCGAGGTCATGTCGTACGGACCGAGCGCAGCGAGGTCCGTACAAATGACCGAGAGCCAAATATTTTCCCGTACGGCCCGACCTAACTCAGTCAATAAGCATTTTATCATATGACCCTCACGAAAATAAAAATAATTAAGAAAAAGAAAGCGCGCGGATTCAAGCAGGGCCGGACGGGTTTTTCCGGCCCGCTTACGTCAACCCGTCCGGCCCCCATCACGTGACTTTTTCCAATGGTTTTATTAGAGCGCGCGAGCAGGGCCGTACGGGTCATATGATAAGAAGGATTTCAGACCATGCCATTCCCTTGAAAATCATCCACATAATTCTGTTCTCCTGTATTCTTTTCTAGTGTTTTTGTTTTGAAGAACAAAGGCTCAACCCTCATGAACAAGTTGACATGCCAGTCTTCTTCTACATTGACCCAGAGTTCACAGAAGACCCAGCAATGGCAAAGGTTGATACTATCATTCTGTCATACACATTCTTTGAATCAAAAGAAGCTGAAAAAATGGGTTTATGATGAGAATTGCTTGGGATATTTGTAAAAAGTCTTGGTTGTTGAGGATTTGTAAAATAATAAAGAAATTCAATAGACATCTCCTGAGTTCAAATGACTGACAGAGCTTTCAATAATAATTGTAGTAAGCAGTTAGTCCTAAGAAGTAGGGGGCTGAAGCCACTGGTGTTTGTATATAACTTTATTTGGCAATGAATTAATTTTTTGTCAAAATAGCCTGCAGCCGGTGAAGTATCTGGTGATGAACCGCCAGTAGCCACCTTTTATTGAAAGCTCTGACTGACCACCAAACAATGGCTTCCGGTCGAGGTTGGAGTTTTAAGTCCAACCCCCAACTTGGAGCCATTGTCTCATCCTCAGTCAAGTAAATTCTGGGAAGCTCTATAGCCCACTTCCGAGATATGCTTTGCTTGCCAATCACAAAAGTTTCGATGTGATTCTTTGTGCATATTACTCAGTGATTTGTGAGTAAAGAATTAATGTAAATTAGCACAGAGCCTTGTACTGAAAGTGTGACAAGCGAAGCATTACCTTGGAAGTGGGCTATTGTGTCGGCATTTTCAGAGATTATATTTGGTAACATGTACATGCTGTGTCGCATGTAAACGTTTTTATTGCTTGTACAGCATGCTCATGAGAAAACCATGTTGTGAAACATACACTGCTGTAACAAATCTGCAAATAAACCTTTTAAAAACAAAAACATACATTTTTTATTTGTAGCAAGGAAACGTATTTTTAATAAATTGAGATTTTTATTTTATTTTTGTTATTACTTGAGCGTTTCAAGAGTGATTACAGTGGTACCTCTATTAAGTGGAGATCTTTGCGGCCGTTTGCTTTAAAGTAAACTTTATGGAAAGAAAATTTTGGCACCATGCAGCTAGCTGTCCGTGTCCCTGGTTAAGCCAACCACAAAGTAGGAACAACTTCATCCTTTGACAATGATCATTGGTCACTGACTAGTTATTTCAAATCAGTTTAACGATTATAGTGAGAGAGACTTTTTCATTTTATTTTTAGAAAACGTCCTCATAAAGTGTTTTTGTTCCAAGATTTCTCAAACTCATTAATAATTCATGAGGTCAATGACCAATGGGAATTTTGCATTGTAGTCACGTGCACGCACCTTGATACTTGATTAAGAACGGATCAAGACACTGATCAAAACACTGACGAATAAACATAGAAATATTTGCGGAGAAATTTTTAGTCTCACGAGATTCAAGAACAAACGAATTATAATGAGTTTAAGAAGTCATTTCAAACGGCCTCATGCTTTCATCTGTTTCTCAGTGTTTGGATGCCCTGATCAAACACGAAGAACAAGTTTTTGATCTATTACTCAAACTGACGACAGCCCAATTATTCTGATGCAAATTATCTTCATACTATGATATATTATACTCTATTTCTTTTTATTCGTGACGTATTCAGTAAAATCCAATAAATGTGGGTGGGTGAGAGTACTTGGTACCACCACACCAAAAGCACTTGATCCGGGGGGAGACTTCACCAACGATGGGGGAGGGGTACATGGAGGTACAGATTCCGTGACCGCTTTGTTACGCAGGCGTTTGATTTGGCGTAGTCTTTCAAGCCAGTTACAGCCATATGCATCTGTTGTTCGTTTTTGACCTTGGTGAAGGACAGATGCCATCTGAGAATGAACAAAACATTACAAATTGGAAGTATTATCAGACGTGAAACCCACCTTTATAATCATGTGGTTAACCCAGACAATGTGCTATACATCGAAATATGGCAAAATATGATGACTTATTCAAATAACTATTGTTCTTAACTTACAAGCCTCTAAGGCTCCGGTCAAACGTCGAACTTCACATAAGTTTCTAATTGAAACAATGGATAACAAGGCGGTCTTCTTTGATGTGATTGGGTTCGGCTCATTTAAAGTTCGACGTTTGAGCTGAGCCTAATACACGTGAAAACGCTTTCGTGTTTCCGCGTGAACATGAGTCAAAATATAAAGGCCCGACAAGCACTGCATGTTAACTTGAATGTTAACAGCGTTGCAAGAGCGTTTACACGGTGCAAAAGAGATGCAATCGTTAAAAGTAGAAACGAATTCTTCAACTTGTCTCGCAACATTTTAAAAAAAATGCGCTGTAGGATACATATGTTGCAGTGCTTTATGAAACTTGTGTTGCAACACTGTTGCGAGACAAGTTGCAGAGAAAATGGCTCCATTTAATCGCACCTTTAAAATGAACGTCGTTACTAACTTACATTAATATGGATGGCTAGTTGTCGAATCAGCATTGGTAAGTTACTATCAGATATTACTCGAGGTCCTGTGTCCACATAAAGATTCTTCAGAGTTTCTTTGAACCGCATCTTGATTACGTTACACTCGTTGTCAAGAGGTGTTATCACCAGCTCGGCAAAATTGAATTGCCCCTTGGAGAAAAATTCATAAACATATTAAGTAGGAGAAAAAAGGAGATGGGAAAGGAGTGTTAAGACGGAGGGGAGCGAGGCAAGGCGGGATGTATGGATGAATGAATGAAAGGATGGATGCAGAAAATGATTTATGAATGGTCCGCTGTGGTCATTTCCATAGTGCACCAGTTATCACACGAGTGTGGTTGCTGCTTGCTCTTGACAGAAACACACTACAGAATGTGATGCATTCAAGCAGGAAAATCATGCTTCTAGAAATCCCTCATGCTTTAAGGTGAAGGAAGTAGACACAAACAGAAACACAGCACGAGTAACACTGACGGTACTATACACTCTGCTGCAGCAACAAGCGAGAAGTTCCATTCTAACCTTAATGGTTCCAAAGGCCACGTTTTCTTCGCAGTCATTGTAGACAATGGTCACAAAATCGTTACCAATATGCATCTTCTTGGAGTTGCATCCCGGGTCTGAGTCTTTAGTAGGCATGAGAGTTGCCACATGAAATATTACTACAAGAAAAGAATAAAAATGAGCCATTTTGAGAATCACGGGTGGCAGAGTGGGATCAGTAGTCAACTTCCCTCTGGGGTACCCTGGGGTCGTAAGGTTCGGTGATCGCTTGTTACAACCACAGGAAGTGAAATAGAACCCCTGGAGTCCAGTGTACCTCTGGGGTGCTAGTTTTGATTCCTGAATTTGGCATCATTCTAGGGGTTTTCTCCAGTTTTCCTCTGGCAAAATCAAAGGAGCTAAACTCCAATTCGATCTTGTGAGTTTGCAAAGCCCTCATTTTGATCAGCAAGATTCATTTTCTGATGAGAGTAAACAACTCACAAGCCTCTTATCCTGGACCCCAGGGTACAAGCCCCTCTGTTGCATGGCACGTTACTGACGTTTTGTTGTTTGCCTTTACCAGCGTAAAAACCAACCTTGGCAAATACTATCTTGCCAGCTGTACGAAAATTCTCCATCTTCTCCTTCTCTGTCCAGTCCTCCTGTATAGATTTCGGCCAGAGGGCAATCGCGAAGACGAATAAGGCTTCCCAGGCCACTGATGAACTTCATGTAGCGGGATGATCCATACACGTTTCTCAGGATTGCTGTCTCGTTATTATGTTGTCCTGGACCAACATAGATTACCCCGATCTTGTGTGTGTCGTACGGTGGGATACGGTCCAAGCACTTAATAGCTCTGTCAATGACCTAGGGATAGAACAAAGAGAAATATCGTCAGGAGGATCCAATGAACAAAATGGAAATCAAAAGAATTTTGGATTGATTGATATCAGTAAAGAGTAGGTACGAGAGATTTTTGCAGTTGAGGCGTTCTTTTTTTGGGTGGGAGGGGGGAGGGTTCTTAATTTGTTTGTCTTTTTTAGCTGGTCGAAGTATCTTTGGAGTCATCTTTGAAAATTATGTTGGGTCATTCCCTTGATAAATGGATTTTCCTCCCTCCGCAAAACCTAACACGCTCAATTCCAATTGGATCTGTGAGTTAGCTTCACCGGCTTTGATAATCCCATAGGCTGTTTCAGGGTATCGATAAAAAAATWTTTTTTTTTAGTGCAACATTAGGTACACTAACTACGAACCAAGAGATCCAAACATGGTCTTTATTTCGCTGATTCACGAAGGAGTGAATGAAAAAAAAATTCCGTTACTTTCCATCAATGGTCAGTCACTAATGTACTCATCCAATCAAGCACTCGCACTGACCCTTGTCCAATCACAAGTCTACAAACGCTTATGATTAAAAAGGGCAAACCCCAATGTTTCCACCAGGATTGACCTACCTCTCCTTCTGGCAAAGGAATGGGCTTATCTTTTGAAGACCCACTGAATGCAGTCTGGTACAACTGAAGAAATACGAAATTAGGATCAAGAGGATATCGGTAGGATTCCGATGCTGTCACCAATTTGGGCGGGTCTCTTGTGGAGGACACCCCAGGGCCATCCTTGCTTGAAGTTCCACTGGTGTCGTGCTGTTTGGTCCCTATTGTTGGGGTCTTTTTCTTTTTACCTAATTCATGAAGCATTGAGGCTGAAAGGGGAAAAATATTATAGTTTGCTAAGAAATTGGTCTAACAACAGATCTCTTTACCTTGGGCGTAATGTTTCCCCATTTCAGACCACATGTCATTGTGTTAAGAATATCTTTTGGGGGGGGGGGGGGGCCATTTTGGGGTCTTCTCATGCGCAACCGTTAAAAAATGAGATGACACTCTACAAATACTCGTGATCCAAATTGAGAAAAAAATTATGTGTCCAAGCTAAAAGGGTCTATTAATTAACTAGAGAAAAGACCATTCAAACCATTCAAAGAGTGGGACATGAAAAAAAACACATGAATATGGATAACAAAAGAGTGAGACAACACAATTTCACACACATAACCAAAGTGGGAAAAGGCAGTGGAAGTGAAGTTTCTACAAAGAAGAAATGTGGCCGCCTGGACTGACCTCTGTTTAGAGTCGGCGAGGATAGTTCAGGTGATGAAGAGCTCTTGTTCACCTTGGAAAAGTACCCCATATCATCAGCACTTGTATTACGTAGCACTTGGGAGCTTTTGGATTCTCCCGGAAGTTCGACGTTCTTACGTATCCTTCTTGGTGAACTTAAGCTGAAGGACTTTTTGAGTTTAGTTTTGACAGGTGATCTTGGACTAGTTGAAGCAGAATGGGAATTCCTGCTTTCCTCCTTCAGGTGATTCTCGTGTTTTTCTCGATTTACGTGACTAGACGTTGCGTGACTGGGCTGCTGTGTTGCGTGACTAGTGTCGGAGCAAGGTCCTTTAGGGAGACATTCCAAAGGAAGAGACTTTGGCCTCTGGGACTTAGCTCTGGCCTCTCCTTTAAGACGGAGTTTTACAGGCTCTCTTTTCGACCTAGCTAATTCTATGAAACAAAGAAACAAATAAATCTGATTAAATAAAAATGAAGTTAGATTTTTCACCACAAATATGTTTTCCATTGCGGTACACATTGAACAAGGTAAAGTAAACGGTAAAAAATGAAAACAAAAATAAAAATCATGACAACCAATGAATGAAAATTAGAAAATGAAATAATACTTTTTTGTCCAAAATTTGGCGCCAAATTTGACAGTTCTGGCGCACGCGTCTATCTTAGTAACAAGCCCGCTATAACATATTTCTATTGCTCTCGGTACTTTTTACCTGATTCAGTAGGTTCAGATGTCTTTCCACCGTGTTTTGACTCACTTTTATCGCCAGCTTCAAACGTCTGCTTGACGTCCCCATCATCACTTGCAAGCTAATGTAACAAAATGCTTGTTAGCTATACATGTAAACTTTATTTGTATAAACCTACTAATGCTGTATCACGAATCCTGCGCTCTCATTGGCTGAGCTACTATGGGTCTATTGGTGATAAATAACAATAAATATATAGTCCCCTTCACAGTTCCCTTCGCCATCTTGAAAGTCAGCTTTGACTTTGCATCGAAGCGAGACGATGCAATGATAGAGACGTGAATAATTGTCCAAGGTGTTAAAAAAGTTCTCTATCATTGCAAGTTTTTCGTTCGTCTCGCTTCGATGCAAAGGCATGGCTACCTTGCAAGATGGCGCAGGGAAAGTTATGTGGAAACTATTTGGTTTACACTAAAACAGACCTATTGTCCTCGGGGTCTACGACTGAGTCAATAGCCCATTTGCGGCCTTCGTTAACTAATGCTTTGGAATAAAAAGTTCCTACAGTTACACGAGTTCCTAGCCATGTGTTTCATTAATAATTTGTAATAAATTGATACCAAAGTTTTGCCTATCGTCATCTGTACCCGGTTCTCCACCAAAACTTTTCCATCATTCCTCTACCTTACTAAATAGAAATCCGAAGTCTAGGTTGCAGTTACAAGAGCAGATTGTATTAGTAAGAAGAGTAAGACTAAATATCAAACGTCAAACTTTATATGAGTCGAACTTAATGACATAAAAGAAGACCGCTTTATTATCCATTGTTTTTAATGCGTACGGCTCATGCGAAGTTCGACGTCTGACCTGGCCTAATATATCCCAACCAAATAAAATGTGGCTTAAAATATCGTAGAGATAAAGAAGGAGATAAATACCCTGTACATCTCGGATGAGGAAAGATACATGTTGTGATCCCGCGTGTGATGTTCGGGTCGGCTCAACTCGGCCGGGGAGACACCCAGCTCGGGCTACGAATATAGGAAATAAAGATGATCAATAAATCGAAGAATATTTTAGGAAGTTGTTATTGGTGACACTAGAGAAAAACGTTTGCGCATGCGTGCATTTTAGCACGTTTTCTAAGACTTTTGAAGGGTTTGAGTGAGAAAATAAATATTTGTTTTCTCCAAGTATGCTCAAAAAAGTTCTAGAGTATACTTTTGTCAGACCAAGATACTGTATTAACAAACACAATATGAAAGAATTAGCCTTAAGTTTCAAGCATGGACACTAAGTTTTGGCATTTTGTGAAGTCCAATTTATCATGCATGTTTGAAAGTCAAATTTACATATGTTTTGACTAATTTGCATACGGATTCAGAGCATGCGCAGACGTTTTTCACTCGTGTCGTTATTGCTAATACATTTTGTAATATGGTTCAAAGGGACGCTTCTTTGGTCGAGGAATAGGCAAGCAGGCATACGATGACGAAATTTCAGTATTTTGGTTGATTGTTATTTAACTTGCCAACCAGAGATCTATTGGACAATCCAATAATGCAAAGTGACAAAACCGTTTGTTAAAAACGTTGGCACATTAAACGTTTTGGCTGTGAATATACATGCACTAGTAAAAGTTTATTGACAAACCTTTTCATAACGTAACTGTCGTTTAGCTGATGGAGGAACATCTGAAAAAAAGAAATAATTAGTGTTTTTAGAGGTTAGATTTAGGGGTAATGACCCCATGAAAAAAGCTGAATGGATAAACATCAGTTGCTATGGAAAAGGAACCATTAGATAATAAAGATTTTATACCTTGTGGAAGGGACTTCTGCTCAAATTGATCTGAACTTTCAGAGTCTCGAGTCATCTGAAGCAAAGAAGAATTATCAATCAGTATACTGAGCACAGCAAAGTATACCACAACACTCATCTACTTATACTACGCCACAACACACCACACAGCATTACATCACACCACACCTTGTTACACCATACTAAACACCTAAGCTACTCACATTACACATTACAAAACATTACACCACACCAACAGCAAATCACACCATATCACAATACACTACACATCACTACGCCACAGCATACTAAACCACTCAGCTACTCACAAGTGGACCGCACCGCACCGCACCGCACCACATTCATTTACTTACACGGAATGCAAAAGGACCACGCCTAGGACTGTTGCTAAGCAACCGAGGCCTATTGTTTGTAGAGCCCATTTCTGATCCCGAGAAGTCATAAGGTGAAGGTAAAGGCGACGATGGTGTAAATCCTTGTAAAGATAAGGCAGTGTTTGTATTCAAGTATTCATCGTTCTCTTCCTGTTGGGACTCTGGCGATGCTTCGGAGGTACTTTTGTCGTCTGGCTCTTTTGTAAGAAAATCCAGCAATGAAATCCATGGTCAACGTAAAAAAAAACCGCTTTCCAATAGCCCACTTCCAAGATATGCTTCGCTTGTCACATACAATGGTTTCAGTACGAGGCTACGTGCGAAAATAAATTAATTCTTTTCTCCTTTCACGGATCACTGAGCATTATGCACGAAGCCTCACATTAAAACCTTTGTGCATGACAAGCGAAGCATATCTCTGATGTGGGCTATTTGAATAAATAACCATATAACCTACCTTTTAGAGCTGTTTCACCTGAATCTTTGGTGTCCTTTTGCTTTTCTTTCTTTACAAGTTCAATCAGAAGGACGTCACTATCAGTACTAGTACTCAGGACCTCACGGCTCTTAGTACGGATCTTCAGCTGGTCGGTGTCTCCATCAGGCACGAGAAGGTCTAGGGCGATAGAAAAATGAATGATACTTGATCAAAAATAGCACAGGCACGCAGGACTTTGGAACAGGAATTGATTCTTTGAAACCTGGCTTGTGTTGAATCTCGTTTATATCTACTAGCAATGGAATTTTGCAATGCCCCTCTCCTCTCCTCTCCTCTCCTCTCCTCTCCTCTCCTCTCCTCTCCTCACTTCCCCAATTAACCACCTAAAAATAAAACGCATCGAACTTACATTCCTTGATGTGTGAATCATCAACTAGCGCTGTAGAGACGTCACCATCAACTTCAGGCATGGTTAACAACGGTCCTACCAATCTGTTCTGTATGCGCATGGTCCAAGATATATTACCGCTGGGCCGTCTGATTACGATTTCGGCCCATCCTTGGCATATGCAGTGGCAATCGACTATTTCGTCACTTGTACCTCCTGAGAATGAATAAGAGCACAAAGACACTGTGATCGACTGAACGATTTAATTGGCTAAATCTTCTTGGATTGTATATCGTAAGGCCATAACCGCCATGCTGGATGGATGTCCAATCGATTTGCGATTTACATATTTTTTTATTTTTTATTTTTTGCTATGGCAATATTCCCTTTCACAGTTCCCTGTGCCATCTTGAAAGGTAGCCAAGCCTTTGCATCGAAGCGAGACAAACGGTGAGCTTGCAATGATAGAGACCTTTTTTAACACCTTGCACAATTATTCATATGTCTCTATCATTGCAAGCTATTTTTTCTCTGTCAATAGTCCCTTTTAACAGTTCCCATCTTGAAAGGTAGCCGTGGCTTTGCATCAAAGCGAGACGAACGGTCAGCTTGCAACTTTTTTTAACACCTTGTACAAATATTCACGTCTCTAGCATTGCAAGCTCACCGTTCGTCTCGCTTCGATGCAAAGCCACGGCTATCTTTCAAGATGGTGCAGGTGACTGTGAAGGGGACTACTGTCTAGTTAGAAACTGTATCTTTTAGCCTTGTTTTAAATACCCATAAATTACAGACATGTAATGATTTACCGCGTGTAGCTTGAGTCTTAAGTCCTTCTCCTGATTTCCCATGGTCAGTTGAGTCACCCGGTTCAGAAGTCTTGGATCTTTCACTTGTCGCATCAACTCGTCCACTATCCCCCACAGGCGACTTGCGACCAGACTGTTTGTAATGGTCTGGTTTCAGGTTAGCATCTTGAGACACAGTGCTCCATCCATCAAATCCTTTATCATCATGCGCAGTACTGGCGTCCTTCTTGGCACTCAAGGAATACTCCTCAAGGATTTTTTCTTTTGATTTCCTTCGTTTTAACAGCAGACTTGCACTGCTGGACGACATGACAATTTTGGAGTCCGGTCTGCCTCGCTTGTGCAAAGGCAGGCAGTTTTCACAGACACCATCTAGTTCGATGTAGGTGCCCGAAGTGGTGATTGACACCACGGAGTTGCCTACGATCCACTGACGTGTCTTGCCCCTGGACAGAAGAAACTCCATGGCTGCTGTCCTGTGGTAACGATGGTAACGAGAGGAAAAGCGTGAAAACATGTTACACTTTTGATTAGAGAGCTTTCTTAGCAACCATGTACGCTGCAGGGCAAAACAAATGGAGTCTTTCTTTTTCCTTTTTAATTTTTCCTGTCCTACGACATGTTTGCCGTGAAACCGCTCGATAGTTTGACATCAAAAGACGTCATTTCTGCTTTCGCCTAGATTTTTTTCCAATTGATATCAAGTTTTCTTTAGAATTAAATGGATGATTGAGCACGGCAATAATATGGCCGTTTACAAAAAAGAAGCTTACCTTTTGGGTTGAGAAAGACTCATAGCAAACGAGTACCTCGCCATCATATCCATACACACTTCACTCATCTCTTTATGAAACTCATAAGCAGACTCATTCTCCTTGGCTTGCATCGAGCTCGACGGTGAAGCTGACCGATTGGAAGGCTGAGGCGAGGATTGCTGTTGGGCAGCGCTGCTGCTACGCGATCGTAGACCAACGGTTGGACTGTCACCTCTCTGTTCGTACCTCTCTGGTTTAGTGATGTTTGTCTTTAAAGCCTGGAGAAGATTTATATGTATCAGTTAACAGAAGCTTGTGGGACTGGGTATCTTGGGACACATATAAGACTTGGTAATACTCAAGTTTCCACTGATTCAACTTATCTCGTACCCAGAGCCTCGTTTCTCTTGGCCTGCAGCGAAGAACGAGGGCTCTGGCAAAATCCGCCAAATTTTGAGACCAGGATCATCCCGTGATGGCAGCCATGATAGGAGGCATAGAAATAGATTATTTACGATTGACGAGGACTCACCTTGGTTATAAATCCAACGAAGTCTTTCCGATAAGCTACACGAGCACGCACGAACCATGCAGTGATCACGTGATAGGCCAATGTGACGGTGTACTGTGAATACCTGAGGTAACAAATCAATTCATTAAGTATTCTGCTAATACTGGCCAAAAACAATGTAGGCTCTATCAACGAGAAAATTTGGTTACCTGAATGGGTCTGTGTAAGGAAAACATATCGCAAACACGCTCTTGTACTGATTTTCTTTAAAGCTGGTGTATAAATGAGGAAGATGAACAAGACCTGCAAGCATAAAGAGTACCTTCTTAGTCAACTTTATCTCTAATTGACTTCGAAAGTCGCTAAAAACTCTATATATCGATAAGTAAACTTGAAAATAAGTTTATTGGCATCATTTTTTTTTTTACAATTTGACGTATTTTTAAAAAATACTTATATTTGAGCTTCAAGTACTGTACTTGGGCTGCCTGTGCTCAAATTACTGCAAATAATTTCAAGCCACATTGAGTAATACCTGAGAGAAATTCCAACATGGGCACCGCCATAGATACGGTGGCTGAGATTTGTGACAGACGAACCAGAATAGCAGGAAGAAGACTGGGAAATTGTAAAAGTAAAAATTAAAAAAATTTGATTGATTAGAACCGCCCATGATGTTTGTAATGGAATAGAAGCACAGAAACACCGATAATGAAACAACTTTTCTCGCATAGGCCTTCGAAAAAAACACGATGCATTGTGGTCTAGCTTCGGTACAAACACCACCATATAAGGCATGGTGAACAAAAGGACGTGTACTCAAGCTAGACCACAATGCACCATGTTCGTTATCTCGAAACAGGGCTATGTAATAGTGGGAAAGAAGATTGAACCCAAACCAGTACATTTGTTGTGTGCATGGTAGTACATTTACTAGCCACTTCGAGGTCGAGGGAAAAACTAGGTCGAGTTGCCACTGCAGTGCATTTTGGAGCTGTTTTAGGGCACCAAATAGATGCCATCTTGGAAATGCATCTCTTAAAAAAGCCCCCAAATGCACTGCAACGAAAACTCGGCCCAATTTTTTTTCTCATCTGCGGATGGCTAATATTCAATCAAATCAACAATGTCTACTAGTCAATAAGACAAGTGAAAAGACTGAAAGATCAAATAACCTGTTCATGACTGCCTGCATCTCCATGGTACACAGCATTAGTGATGACACGCAAAGGTTTGCACACTTTGATAAGAACCCAAGCTCTAGTGACTGAACCAACTCACACTAAAAATACCAAACACATGTTATTTTTGGCTCTTATGAATGTATTTATAGTTCAGACTCCCCTTAGTTACCGTTGCTATGTCCCACAAGCTTAACAAATTTTCTAGAATATCTCAGAATGAAAACTCTAATCGCGGAAAATTGATTATAAATTGGTTCAACAGTTTACTGTACTGTAAAAAGAATAGAAAATTGCCAAGTAATCCTTGTAGTACTCTTTAAAACAGACACTGTGTAGTTGTTTGTCGAACAAGATTATAATTCCATTGGGAAAACTATTGCAACGGTATTGGTTCACATTGTGTGAGTCCAAACTATGAATTTACAGCAGAACTGCCTTAAGTGAGCCCAGTACATCATGAGATTCAAAACTGAGCGATTTTCTTGCATATACTACTATATACTATATTTCAAGGCATATCAATGTGATGTAGTGATACGGTCCCTTGATGTACCTGATGGGTCCGGTCCAGCCTGAAGTGATATGTGGCTAGCACTGTCAAGACCTGAAGGAAAATAAACTTATTTTTTAGTTAGACGGACAGACGGACAGATAGGTGGACGGCCAGAAGACAAACGGCCAGACGGACGGACAGATAAATATGTTGGCAGGCAAGGAATAGGAAACGTTAGACGTACCGGAAAAATTAAGGCATGGAATCCAGTTCTCCCGACACCCTGTGGTACGTTTTGAAGATCTAGAACCGTGGCAGAGTCTGAAACCTGAGAGAGAAAAAAACTAATGATAAGATTCACGATTGCAAGAGTCCTATTGCAAAGCTATTAGCACCACTAAGTGCCGCCACTTAATGGTTTTCATTTCCGTCATCCAAGACTAAATTGAAACCAGTGCCACATATTATAGCTGTCAGCGTTTTCTATCAGTTTCGCCGATCGTATAAACCTGATAGTCTCGCTTGTATGACTTCAGAAAAAAGATCATAGACCGTTTTCTCAAGGTTGCGTGCGCATCCAACTTGACGGGCCACAAAACTGAAAAACGCAAATTCAGTAAAATTGAGAAGCCAGTTTTATATTTAAAGAGGAGAATAATCGATTTTATGAATTCTTATTCTAAAATAATTAATAGCATTGCATGATAATACTCGTCAAGTTCCTTAGATTTGGATGCGCACGCAACCCTGAGAAAATGGTCTATTCGACTGCAGGATCAAGAATTTAGTAAAAATACGTTTCTTCCCAAGTCAAACAAAACTGCAGGTTTTCTTACTTTCGAAAAAAGATTAAAATCATTTAAGGCCTCACCATTTTGCACAGCACTGACGACATGATGTTTAGGCTTGGGTCAGCGGCTAACACCAATGTCTTGTTCTGTAGTACATCAGGAAGCTCAGATAACACGTGTTCTAGTACTCTCCAGTCCCACTCCTAGGTCAAAGTTGAAGATTCAAAACCAAATAAGTTGTCTTACAAACAAGACCACTGAAATACAGTCGGCCCTCTTTGAACAACCACTCCGTAAAGCGACCACTCTTGTAAGCGACCACCTCCCATAAGCGACCACCTCCCATAAGCGACCACCTCCCATAAGCGACCACCTCCCATAAGCGACCACCTCCCNTAAGCGACCACCTCCCATAAGCGACCACCTCCCATAAGCGACCACCTCCCATAAGCGACCACCTCCCATAAGCGACCACCTCCCTTAAGCGACCACCTTACCAAATTCCCGTTTTGTTTTACATACAAACGATAATATTAAAATATTTCTCATCTCCCGTGAGCGACCACTTATTCCTCAACCCAAGGTGGTCGCTTACGAGAGAGTCAACCGTAAGTACAATGGATGATAACGCACACTAGGTATACTTACGTATTGTAGACAGTTGAGTATGACGTTGAAGGCTTCAGAATATGGGATGACTCCCAGTGGGCTGGAGCAACATGGCTTACTCTCACTGGAACTGGTCAAGGCACTGCAAACACAATGAAACTATGAACAGCGAACTCTAACAGTTGGAATAAGAAAATGCAAACCCCAGTGACGGATCCAGGAATTTTTAAAGGGGGTGACCAGGGGCGTAGCGAGGACCTAGGAGCTGGGGGGGCACTGATCCAAAATAAGAAAAAATTTCAAATTCCCACGTGCAGATTCCAGGCTCTGACCGGGTTCGCAGTGCACAGGTAGCCCGTCCGGATAACTTCGTATAAATTCGCACTTTTGTAGGTTGTAATAATTTATTTTCTTCTTTCGTTTCGGTTTAATATGTTTTTTTGTTGTTATTCTTTTTTCAAAAAGAAATTTTTTCAAAAATTTGGGGGGGRGGGGGCACGTGCTCCCCCCCCCCCCCCACCCCGTGTCCCCCCTCGCTACGCTACTGGGGGTGACTATAACGAAGGTTTTACCAGGAAAGCGAGAAAAGCGGGGAGTGGCTTACTAAGGATAATACTGAGAAATATGAGCGAAAGGTGGGTAACTAGCCACTTCACCACCCCTGGATCTTCCCCTAAACACTTAGCACAATAAACAAGTTACAGCAGGACATTTCATGGCCGAATTAGATTTTAGAATTTTTTATTTACGATTACTGACAGTAGTATGAGGCGGCGCATTAGCAGAGCTCATCATCTGTGCTCCTAACCGAGGATCACATAGACCTGCCTTACTTTCAAACCTTTTTACCCCAAAGTCCCGCTCTTTTTTTATTAGAGCAGTTTTCGTATGACTGTGAAAAGCTTACGGCACGAGCGCGGTCATGGTACGGGAARGTATGCGCCAATCCAATCACGTTGGGCGATAATTTACTCTTTATCCAATCAGAACACGCCCAAAACACGGCGCGATCACGGCGCGGACACGGCCACGCCAAAGTCCCGGCACTGCCAGACCAATCACATTGCGCGAGAAAAAAGTTAGCCAATTAAAATTCTAGAAAACATCACGGTCACGACACTGCACACATACGGCACCAAGCTTTTCACAGTCATACCAACACTGCTCTACACCACATTACATACATGCTCTCTGGAATGTGTAGAGCCAAGGTTAAAAATGTTAAGCATTTGTTTTGATAGCGGCCTGTCACTTACCTTGGCGTGCAAACAAAATAAAGACTGACTTTATCATGTTCGCCTGATTTTTCTTCCACGAAACCAAGACGATGGCTCGTGTCACAGCGGAGAGACAGCAAACACTCAAACACCTTAAAGCGGGAAAATGATAAACTTCAAAATAAATGCTAAGCTTTGTCCCTTCTCTCCCCCACCCTCACTCCTCAATTACCCACATTCTTCTCATTCATACAACAGATGTGAGGGGGGGGGGGAATGTTTCCTTAAAGGCGCGATTATACTGAGCGACAGCGACGCAAGTTGCAAGAGTGTCTACACCGTGCAACGGAGACTCAATCGTTAACAAAAGTAGAAATAAATTCTACTTTTGGCAACGATTGCTGCAACTTGTCTCGCAAGTTTTTTAAAAAATTGCGCTGTAGGTTACACCTTGCAATGCTCCATGCAACTTGTGTCGCAACGCCATTGCAAGACAAGTTGCAAAGAAAATTGATCCGTGTAATCGCACCTTAAGAACTAACAAATTGTTTCCTCTTTTCCTTCTCAAAGTCAAAACAACTCAAACGTAAAAAAGGAGATATGCATTTATTTCGAGAGGAAGCGATATCCCCTTCCTATCCTGTCAATTTTTAGGCTTATCCCACAACTTACAATATTTCTGATGACACTGGCTATGTTGGTGGTGTAACCATGGTAATAGTGAGCCTTCAAATGAGTGACCAGCAGACTAAACACTTTCTGCGCATGACTGTGAGGAAGACGGAACAATTTGACCTGAAAATGAAAATGACAAGATGCATGGATCATTGATCGAACCGCTTGGTTATAGCCTGCAGAGCAGGCGTTGATGGATTTGAGAGGAAGAATTGGGGTTTTGGAGTTCCTGTTTCGACCAAGGGCCCGCGAGAAAAATGGGACCTAGCAAAAAAGGGAACGTAATTGTTTTTGTTAAGAAAGATCATTTGCATCTCTGAAAGGAAGGCTGTGGAGCCAGATGATGAGACAAACAATAGATCTCTTCCAAATAGACCTCTTTACAGTACCTTGATGGTAATTTTTCATTCCAGACCACATGTCATTCTTTTGGGAAAGAGATTCTTTGTTTGAGTTGTATCCATATTCATGTGTCTTCTCATGTGCAACTGTTCAACAAAGGAATGACACGTGGTCTGAAATGGAGAAATATTATGCCAAGGTAAAGAGATGTTTTCTTTTGAAAGGCCACGAATGGCTCCAATCCGAGGTTGTACTTGAAGTGTTCATACAATTACTATATTTTATCAAGTCCAAACTCGACTTGAAACCATTGTTCCGTACACCGCCCAACGTGGTTTAACGAAACTTGGTAGCAGACGTACTTTAAACACTTGCACCAATGCACTGATAGCTGTTTTAATGTCCTTCAAAACCTCTTCTTCCTGGGATGACTACACGAAAGAAACAAAATGTCACAAAGTCTGCTTGCACGTGAATGTCGTCGTCTTTCGTTATGACAGGGGTGATCATGGCTAGGCGAAATAAGGAAAGCAGCCTTGACAAATATTCTACAAAAAATCTTTGGATAATTAAAAAAATAAAGAAAATCCTGGCTTGTTTGATAGAAGAACTAATGGTTTTGAGAAATACGAACCTCGGTTGGCGACATTTTTCCTGGAACTTCTACACGTCTGCTAATAACCTACACAACAAAAAGAAAAAGACCACGTCTACCAATGGTTTTATTGTTTGATTACTTAGGTAAGCTGGTTGGTTCATTGACGACTTAGCGCCTCTCCCGGGGTGCGGCGCCTTCTAAAACAGAAGGTTTTCGGGATCTGTTATTTAATGTTTTCTGGTTGAAATTCCCGACGGATAAACGGTTCCTTGCTATCCTTTTTTCTTCAAATTGACTTTGCTCAGGCAGCAGCCATGTTAACTCTTAAAAAAAGATTCTAGGTTTGCTCCGCCGTCACTATGGTTGGTCGGTTGGTCGGTTGGTCGGTCGAGCAATCAGTCGGTCAAGTCACCAAGCAACCAACCAACCTAGTTTTTCTCTCCATAGATTTCATAGCTGGTCGAACTCCTTCCATCATTCATTCGTACCTTTTCTACGATATTCAGAATATCCATACATTTTGAAGAATCGCATGTTTGAGACAAGTCGAGCAAAAGCTGCACTGCAGAAGTCCTGACAGTAACGTCTTGGTCATCTGCGATGCTGCCTAGAAATGGCAACACTACGAGATCCAACAGTTCTTCCTGTAAACGAATGTCAGCTAGAAAACTTAGATTACAATATCAATTATCGATTATCGAGACAATACTGAAGACAGTAAGAGATCAAGAGCGAAAGAGAGAGAAAATCAATGGACCTCTACCTTGGTCGTAATATTTTCCCATTCAGACCACGTGTCATTTTCTAGAGGACAAGATTCTTTGTTTTAGTCTTCTCATGCACCACCGTTCAGAAATGTTACTCTAGGGAATGACACGTGGTTTGAAATGGGAAAACATTTAAAACGGCCTATTTAGAGAGGACAATACGACTCACCTCGTACCAATGGCGATATGAGGTGAGGACAAACGAGAGGACATCCAACGCCTTTACTCGAACACTCGTACGAATCTCATATCTGTAGGTTAGAAATTAAAATCAAATCTGTTTATTTCGGTGAGTTTTTACGTGCAATTTTGAGTGGTGGTGAACTATGGTGGTAAATTCTTTCACGATTTTTTTCTCTTCTGGGTAAAATGAAGCTATTCTCAATACAAACGCCTTGTAAAATTGTTGTTTTGTGGAGGGGTGGGGTTATCTGGATCAAAGTCATTCAAAGATAACATGCGGCAAGGAAATTAAGTGTAGAGTAGCAGTAGTGCGACCGTCTTTCACCTCTGGGGTCTCGGGTTTGATTGGCCTCACATGCGAGTAGCCTTCGTTACCTCTCCCTTGATTTGAGTATTAAAGTGCTACTACGACGAAAATCGCTCAAACTTGGATTCAGCTGAAACTTCCTAAGAATACTCTTTAAAGGTCCAATAATCACTGTACGAAGTGTTTTCTCGATATTCAGGACGAAAGTATGATATTTTTACGATTATTTTTTGGAGTATGTGACGTCATACACTCAACATCGAACATCGCTCCATACATTT